ACACGAATGACTTCTCTCATGTGGTCAATAGTTTCTTCATTTACTCCAGCCTGAATGCAAGCATAAACGAAACAATTGTCTTCTGTCATAAGTGTTGCAGTTCTTTTGTTCAGTTCATTGAAGATTTGGTAGCGTTCAAGATTTATAGGTAATGTGCAAAGATACTTCCAGAACTGACCGCTTCTCTTCTTATAAAACTTCTTTTCACCATTATCTTTCCAAAAGCTTTCTATAAGTGCTGGGTTTCCTGTTTGCTTAAGAGCTTCCAAAATGGCTTTCTGGTCATTTGTCAGTGTGCTTTCATCTCTATATGGTCTCTTTTTTGGTTTGCCTTTCTTTACATCTGACATCGTTAAGCCTTCATATTCTGTTAAATCATACATCTTTATTTCAGTAAGATTCTTTATGTTTGTCAAGAAGAAGTCATAGTGCATTTCAACAATACCTGCGGCATTTGCTTCTATCTCTGATATAAAGTTCTCCTTCAAGAGCTGATGTAGTAATGTTCCAATATTATTGAGGTTTAACGTAGAACATTCATACTTTCCACCAAGTTTATAACATACCATCCATCTCTGTTGTGAGTTTATTTTAATCTTCTCTAAGAGTCTCATGAAAACCTTACCGAAATGTTTGTGTAAATATTCTCTGTTTGGTTCATCTAAAGCTTCGATGTTAAAGTCAGTGAGTCTATTGCCTGACTTCACATTTCTCTTCCTATTCTCTTCATCTTTCTTTAACCATCTCTCACCTTCTTTTGGTTTGTCGTCAATGGAACGAATGACATCGTTAGCTTTGCGAACTTGTTCTATAGCACTTTTAAACATCTCTCTTCTCTGTTGTTTCAGTGTGTCGTCTCTCTTTCGTGTTTCACCAACGTTCGCATTTGTTATGTCAAACATTTCTCTTCTTACTTCATGAGGTACTGAACGTCTATGATATAAGTCAATAGCAACGTCATTTAAAGGAAAAGTTCTTGCATTTATGAACTCATGAATTCTATCATAAGTTATTTCACCATTATAGTCATTGAGGATGTCAGCGAGTGCTTTTTTGTTTGTTGCGTAATGCTTTGCAACATCTATATTAGCTTCTGTAAGAAGTTGTTTTATTTCCGAGTGTTCTAACTTAGACAACTTCCGATACATCTTTAGTAGGAAATAAAAAAATATTTTTTGAAAAAATTAGATTAGATTTTTTAAAGTTATTTTTCAAAATAATTTAATATTTTTATTTTAATGAAACACATGCAAGATTGCAAGTTCTTTTCATACAATGCTCTCGCTAATGCCATCAAGAATGAGTTCAATAATGCTTCAAATGTTAATGTTATCTTTAACAAGAAGTTTGTGAAAGAATCTAAGTTTGGTCAGTATGTCAGACCATTAGCTATCGTCATTGACCGCAAACGTTATACTTCACAAGAGTTAGCAGTAGTTTTGAAACAAAAGAGTTTCTTCGTGAATGTCAAAGATACTCATTATACTGTCATAAAGAACTCTAACATTGACTTCTTCAGTATTGCTTTAAATCTTTCCGAACAGAAAGAATATAAGAAGGGTGAAACATCTGTGAAATATTATCCTTCATCTCTGAAGACAATAACGAACAAAGATGTTATACAGAAATTCTTACCAAAGGTTGAAGAAGCTTCAATTGACATTGACGAAGGAAGTGAAATGGTTGAAGAAATTGACCCTGACGTTATTTGAACAAAAATATATTTTTGGTTAGTCTTCATATCGATATTTTACAACAATTCCCCAATGTATAAACTTTTCATACGCTTTTTCATAAGCTTTATATACCTTCAGAAATTTTGCATAATCTTTAGAAGCATTTAGATATTGTTTAAATGCTTTGTATGTCTTCAGAAATTTTGCATAATCTTTTACATGTTGTTCGTTCTCTTCTTCTGTCATGAGTTCCGAATATTCTAAATTCATTTTTTTTCATATGAGATAAAATTTTATAAAAAATAAAATTAGCTTAGATTTTTTTATTCTTCCTCTTTGAAGTTATCGAAATATTCTGTTATTTTTTCCTTCAGTAATGGTAAGTCTTCTTTGAAGGTAAGAATTGTACAACCTTTAATATCATAGTGTGTTTGAGGAAGAGTACTTTTGACAATTTCCTTTATTTGCTCATTCGGTGTCATTGAAATCGGTAAGTTTTCACGATAGAACCAGTTTCTGTCAGATTTATATATTTTAGCGAGGTCATAAAAGCTCTTGTTGTTTCTTCTCACTAAATGCAACATAACCATATCTCTATCTTCTTCTTTCTCCATCTCTTCAGCGTAAATCATATACTTATAGCTTTTTTCCTTTCCTTTTGGTACTGAACGTGGTATTCTTTTCTGTATGCTTTTGTCTTTGGATTCAATGACTTCATCTTTTGCTTGAAGTTTCTTTTCCATCTCTCCACGTTCTGCTTTATATAGTTCATCTAACATCATGAAAATATAACAAGCATAACGAGGTGAAGCCCACATTGCTACAGCGTTTACTAAAAGTCTATGAACATAATAACCTTTCAAACCAGGTGCCAAATTCTTGCGATTTTCGTACGGAATCTCTTCTCTCGGTTTTCCGAGGGAAGCAATCATATGAGGAAATTCTTCTAAAAGTTCTTTTGTCTGTTGGTTTTCAAACCAATGATATGCTTGCTTTGTAGAACGAAGAGCATTCATTATACTTTGCATTTGGTACATGTCATCTTTGACTGAACGAATGAGACGTAACTGTTTGTTATACTGTATGTATTCGTATTCTTCATTTATAGCTTCATGGACTATAACTGTTGTTGTGTTCTCTGATGTTGTCATTACTGTCTTTACATACAAAATAAAAAAATAAATAAAAATAAAATTAGCGTTATTTTCTGACTTTCACAAAAGACCAAAAATAAACGCTTTACATGTATTTTTCAGCAACTTCGTCAAATAATTTTATAGCTTTATCTATCTCATCTACTTCAAACGTTTCTTTACCTTTCATGGGAGCACCATACATTTTCTCAAACTTTTCAAGTAGTTCTGTTTCTGCAGCTCTCATATCATTAACGAACACAACCTTGACTCTATTGACTGTACTGTCATATCTTTGAGTTATATTATATGTTCTTCCTATCTTATATCTCTTTGTATTGAAGTCCTTCGGTTTCTGAACGATGTAAAGTAAGCCTTCACTGCAACGTTCCGTATCGAATGAACCATAAGTTATGAAGTTATATCCAACAACTGGGTCTAACCATAACAAAACTATTGGTATAAGACTTTTGTCTATAAGATATGCTCTTGTTCCATGAAATGCTACTGATATCATAAGCTCAGGATTTCTTGTCAAAATTTTCTGAGTTGAAGCATTTCTAACCCAGTCGTTTGTTTTCTTTCCAGATGGTGTTATAATGTCTGACAAAGAATATTTGTTGTATTTCTTTGAGTATCTTACGTTTAAATCACCTATTCTAACCACTTTGGTGTCATTGTCTATCTTTCTAACTGTTTCAAACTCAATGTTTGACATTACTGTCTTTACATACAAGATAAAAATTTTTCTTAGAAAAAATAATGTTTATGTTAGCATGTTAGATCTAACACGTTTTCTAACCACTTTTCTAACATCGAAGAAAACTATTTACAAGCGTTTTACATGGTATATGTTGCGATGGTTCATGACTTTAAACAGTTTTGTAGCTTCTATTTCTTCACGAAGGATATCAAAAATTTTAACTATGCCGAAGGTTTCTTTATATTTCTTCTTGACATCAGATAATAGGAAATCGTCAGCAGTTGGATAGTTTTTGTTCAGAAATGCTAACATGTCCATTTTATCTTCTGCTGGTTTCTCTACTTCTTTCTTTAAGTCAGCATAGTCGTTTCTCATACGTTCTATCTCTTTGACGGAGTAGTTATATTTCCTCATTGCTGCTTTACATTTTGAACATTGCGGATTCATTTTTGCGTTATACCTTGAAATTTGACCTGCTATAACAACTAAGGCGTCAATGGTTTTCTTTAACTCAAAAGTTGTTGGTTTTATTTGTCCATTCCATATTTTACATCTTTTATCTTTATCTCTTATCTGCCATACACATTCAGCAACTAATGAAACAAAGTTGTCGTATGTCTTAAACTCCCCAGATTTATATATGTCAGAGATGTTCTTATATACCATGTCGCAATCTTTGTCCATAACTTTATGGTTGCAATGATATCCTAGAAACTCATAGTTTACTTTACGTATGAACTTCTTTATTTCTACTGAGTCAGTTGGTTTCACTTCTATTTCATCGAATTCATGAATAGTGAGCTTTTGTTGTTGGATTTCAGGCAATTTGGGTAAATGGTCAATAATATCCTGCATGTCATAAAGATACTGTTCATTTGTTTCATCTTTCGCACTACAGTCTAAATTACTTGTTAAAAGTTCTTGCTTAATTCTTTGTATTTCTGTCTCAAAAGTATATGAAGAAGGAATGAAGCTTTTCATCTCTACTAACATAGATGTTGGATTCATAACTAAAGAGTTTGGTGAAGTTGTTGTTTGAAGTGTTGTAGAACCTATTGTTGAAATCATATCTTTACATACAAGATAAAAATTTTTCTTAGAAAAAAATTAGCGTTATTTTTCTTTCATAAGGAAATGTCAAAATTCATGATTTTCGAAGTTTTAGACAATGTTAGAAAGTGGTTAGAAAAGTGTTAGATCTAACATTCTAACATAAATAAAGTTTATGTTAAAATAAATGGTACCATTAATGATATCATGACTGTTCTCGTTCATGTCTGATTTACATCTAATGAAAAAGTTTAGAAGAATTTTCTTATTCCTTCTGGGCTATTTTTGTCTTTCCAGTACTCCCGCTCTAATGGTCCCAGATGTGTTGGCTTTGACTCTCTCAAGTTCTTAGATGGTATATACATCTTCAACGCCTCCTTCATATCTTACTTTATAAGTGTCATCGTTTATGTTATAGTTAAGTATTTCAATAACCACTCCTCGCTTTGCTTCGTCAATGGTTTCAGCAAGTTTGCCATTACTACTTTCGACTAATTTATGACGAGGATAAAACGCAATAGAGTCGTCAGCAGCTTTTATAAGATATCCATTACCTTGCGTAGAGTCTACGATATAATAATTTCGACTTAACCTTAAACGTTTCTTTGTCAACGGCTTGTCGTCAAGAACTACACGAACTTTTGTACCAGGAATGAGGGTAAATTGTGTTGAATTTCTGATATTTTGTGTTTGGCTTCGTTTCTTTTGTATATACTTTTCTTCTTGTTGTTGTGTCATTGAATTTGGTGTATGTCCTGTTGTAGAGTGTGTTGAGGAATTATATACTTCGAGAAAATGTTTCATTGTTTCTTCGGTAAAGTCTCGCTCTTGGTTTAAATCTCTGAGCGTTCTTATGAAGCGGTTTATGATGCCGAGTATGTTATGGTTATGGTCTTCAGTAGTGTAGTGAGTTATGTTATGCTTAATGAGAAAATCTGTGATTTCATTGCTGAGGTATGCACTGTCTTGGTCTGATGTTAAAGTACTTGGGTTATGTTCTGCTACAAACTTTTGTAAAACTCTTAACACTTCACGAGTTCCTTTATTTTTCATTGGATATGCTTTGCGAGTGTTAACATTAATGAAGATGAGGAATGGTTTATGTCCTCCTTTTCTGCTTTGAATGAGAGTGTCAAATTGGTATGCGTCAGGAGCGTTGGAGTAAATTGGTAAAAAGTAGTCGTAAGGGTTTATTTTTGTTTGATGTACAACATTTTTGTCAAAGAACCTTTTCACTTCAGCTCTGTTAGTAAATCCCCGACTCTTTGCAGCTTCATTGAACTTCTTAAATGACCTCCATGGATGTTGTTCGAATACTTCTTTCAAGCTCATTTATGTAAAGTTAAAGATTTTATTCAAGGCTCAAGCGCGTTCATTGAACGCGGTACCATGCGAATACAGTCACAAATGGTGGCATATAATCTTTACCCAAGCCTGTTGGATTTGTTGTGAAAGTGTGTGAATGATTTCCTGTGGTTCCACAGAAAATACCTGCGCTTGAATCTACTGGGTCGCTTGAAATATCATATCTATCCATTCCCTGTCTATCCGAACCTGCTGCAAGATTTCTATAACCTCTTTTTGTTATTGAATGTGAATGATTACCTGTTGTGTTTGTAGTTCCCGTATGAGTGTGCGGTGGAAGGTTTGCTTCTTTAATTTTCTTCGAACCCCCTGTTTGCTTTGAAGAGTTAGCACAGTATAAGAATTTGTCTACAATCTGCTTCCACGTACCCAAACCCAGAACTGTTGCTGGATTTGTTGAGTTCATTGACGTATAAATAGAGCCTATAGGATATAATGTTTGAAGTATTTCTGTCTTTAATGTTTGAAGCTCTGTTTTGTCTGCTTTCTTATCTAACATTGTTGGTAGTTCATATGCTTCAAAGTTTCTGGCATGATCTCCGATATTCCTGCAACTGTTATCTAAATTGTTTAGTGTATCTTTTACGCTTGTACTTGGATTCTCTAAAGGTGCACTTGAACCAAGGGTATAGTTCAATATTATGTCGTCTGCTCTAACAGTAGTGAAGGATTTATGTGTATGTTCTTTGTCAGCTTTCTTATCTAACATTGCTGGTAGTTCATATGCTTCAAAGTTTCTGGCATGATCTTCGATATTCCTGCAACTGTTATCTAAATTGTTTAGTGTATCTTTTACGCTTGTACTTGGATTCTCTAAAGGTGCACTTGAACCAAGGGTATAGTTCAATATTATGTCGTCTGCTCTAACAGTAGTGAAGGATTCATGTGTATGGTTCTTGTCGGCTTTACTGTCTAAAGAAGTTTGAAGTTCATTTATATCGGAGATATTGTGTTTATGAGATTTCAAAACTTTGTTCATTGCTTCGAGTTCAACTTTGTCAGCTTTACTTTTAATAGCATCTTCAAACGTTATTTTTGCCTTAACTCTCAATGTAAATCTTGGTTCAACTAATACACCGTTAACATTGAAAGTAGAGGCATAAATTTCACCAGAATAACCAAATGCTTCTGGTGCTTTAGCTACATCATACTGTACAGTACAGCTTATGTCATAACCTTTAGCACGAATGTATTTATATCTTCTTTCATTAACATTTTTTGTCTTCGCTTCATCACTTCGTGTTAAATATCCATGGTAGTCCGTTATAATCTGTTCATCTGAAGTTATATAATGAACGTGGTTCTTGACTTTATCACTCAGAGCTAAAAGCTCATTTTTGTCTGCTTTTTCGGCTAATTTCTCATTAACATCATTCACTTCTAATTCAACTCTTCCGCCAGAACTCTTATTATCATTAATCTTTTTCATTAATTCGGTAATTACGTCATAAAGACTATATTCTGTTTTCGGTTTTGTAAATAATGAGTCAAAATTTCTTTTCATCATTACATCGCTGACATTAATGATATCACCAATTCCTTTTTCATTTATTCTCTTCATTAATTCTGCAATAATGACGAATATATAATCTGTTAATTTATTCTCTTCATCGAGGGTTATAGAATGTTTTGAAATTGAATCATTAACTCCTCTAAATAAATCAATAACTTCAGGATACACGTTTTTAATGTCTCGAATAACCCGACCAGTATCCTGTTGTTCATGTTCTTCGTTCCCGTCGTTACGTGGTTTTATATCTCTAACCATCATCAACGCAGCCATAACCGGAGGGTTTGTTGCTATCTGTTCGAAAATCCGTCCGTTATGTATGGTATATCTAAATAATTTCTTTGTGTTTGTTAAAACATTTGAAACAAGTCTTTTAAAACCATCTACAAAATTTCCTGTTTCACCTAATGTTCTTGCAGCATTTACAAGCTCACCCATTCCCGCTTTTGACTCCAAAAACGTCCATATTGCATTTATTTCACTCTGTATAGTTGTCCATTCAGCGAAACTAACACCCGCATTCGCTAAGCTGAAAATGAAATTCAGTGGATCGAACTTAATTCCACCTTCTTTTTCAATTTCAACGAACTCACTAACATGAGATTTTAAATATTCTTTCGTTAAAATTGTTTTCCCCGATGTTATGTCATTAACGAAACTATCACCGTCAAAAGTTAACGAATTCAATTTCGTCGTTGATGCTTTTATTTCATACACCGCTTTATCGATAGTTTTTGGCTCACCTTCTTTAGAAGCATATGAAACATTAATGAATGAATTATATGTATTCATGAATGAATTAAAATCAATGATTTTCATTAATGACACCTTTAATGATTCATTTACTGTCGAATCCCTTAAAGTAATTAATGAACTGTCATTTATGAAAGGTACACTGCAAACCGTCGAGTTTGGATCAAATGCTGTAGTCGGCTGGGGAATATTAATGATATAAGTCATTAAATCATTAAGTGACGTAAATAATGTTGTCGTTTTTGATTTAATTTCTTTAGCATCTGTTATATACGGTAATTTTATTTCTGTAGTTTCTGAATTAAAGATATTCGCTAAAATGTTTTGTAAACTGTTTTGAACAGCTGTGTAAACCGTTGAATCCGGAACCCTTACGATTTCACCATCCTTAATAAAAGGCATTGTACATGGCGTAGTGCTTGGGTCAAATCTTTCGGGATTATAATTCAACATATATTCTAATGCTTCATATACAGACTTATATACTGTTGTGTCGTTCTTCATGACAACTTCACCATTTACAATGAATGGCATAGTACATGGAGTTAAAATAGGGTCAAACTTTTCATAGTCCTTCCATGTTATGTATTTCTCGGTATTTCCATCAGAAATAACAATATATTTGTCAGTAAGTGTGAGAGAGTATTGACCAAAATATAAACGTTTAGCTCTGTCAGCTTCATACGCATATGCAGCTATACTCATATTTTAATGAGAATAAAATGTTGTTCTATTTGCAAAGTACAGACCCAAACGAATACGGGACAGTAAAGCTACAAACAAACTTAGGTCTACAGAATGAGGCGCTTGCATTCAGAATGGTTGACTTCAATACTATCGCTTCATTCGTTATAACAGATGAAACAGATTTCATGGAGCTTGAAATAGATGGAAAGAAGCATGAAATAAGATTTCACAATAATGTAGAATATAAGATGGAAACATTAGCTGGAGTGTTAAATGCTCTCATAAATACTACAATAAACAAGGATAACGAAGAAAACTTAATGAATGTTAAACTTATTGCAGGAGTTTTGAAGTTCAGTTATGCGAAGGAGTTTAAGATACCAAGAATGAGTCATAGAGTACAACTTCTTTTGGGAGCATACCATATGACATTTCCTTTGAAAAGTGTTGACAAAACGATTGAGATGAAATCTGTTCCATACGTATGTTATGGTAATTGTTTGTACATTGAGTCAAAAATAGCTAATGTCACAGGTATTTCAGGAGTTAATAGTAAAGGTTCAGTAGAATATAAATCCTTCTGTTATGCAGTCAATTCAATGTTCATTCCAAACGTTCCTGTCATAGCAACTCATTTAGGTAAATGGGTTCGCATTAGTCCTCATAATTTGAAAGACATGCAATTCAGACTTGTTGACTTTCAAGGAGAGCCTGTAGAACTGAAGGCACCAGTGCGAATGACTGTTGAAGTTGACTTTTTAGAAAATATTAAATGCAACAGCTTACAAGAGAACTCAGAGCTAAAAATATAAAGTATGAATGTTATGTATTAGGTCATGAACTTTGGTTGTTGCTGTTTGATGAAACAAATGAGTTAGTTATGTCAGTCAAGAGAACAGAAAAATATTGTGTTAGTGAAAACTGCACCAAGTCAATAAGATTAGGTTTGCATTATGAAGATGAGTTCGATACTGTTGAAGAAGTTTTGGATAGATATTACAAATTGCTAACTTGAAATTTTTTTTGACTGACGGTGCAAAGCGCCAAGATGGGCTCAAAGAGCCCTCCTGACTGCTTTAATTTACTAAAACATATTTCAAACAAAGTTTATATTCTGTTGAAAGTTTTGTATACTCGTTCGAATATTTATACTTAAACTCAACTCCTGTAGTTCCTGGTGTTTCAATGATGCGGATGTTACCTATTTTCATGAATAGTGGAGTTTGACCACAGCATTCGATTTCAGGGTCGAGATAGTCAATGACACATTGTTTCCCTGTTATTCGTGAGATAACATTTTCAAGGTCCTCCTTTGTTAGAATTATTTGGTTCTTGCTTATAAGATTTGTCAAAAGCTTCTTATCGTCTTTGAGTAAAATTGTTTGGTATAACTGAAGAAGGTAATGGTCTACGTTATCTGAAGGATTTGTTTGAACATTTGTGTAAGGATTGTCGTTGGCTTCTCTTGAAAGAATTTGGTCCAGTGGTGGATACTCTAACTTAACATCTGATGTAGCGTTAGCGTTTGAAGCTGTGTTTAAATTCACGGATTTCAGCTCTGGTTCTTTTTCTTTCAAACACTCTGAACTATAGTTCTTTATGACAATATTGTTTGTCGTTCGTGAGTCAACATTTGATGTTGGTTCAATTGGAACATTAACGGCACCAGCTAAGATGGATTTGCTTCTCATTTCATATAGAATAAAAACCTTTTATATGTATGAAATGAACAATATACTCGACAAGGGTTTGAATGTAAAGCTAACGAATGAAAATATTGTTGAATTCACTGAGACAGGAGCTGTGTATAAAGATGTAGAACTACTGAACAAAAGAGCTAAGGGAAGAAGCAGGAATATGAACAAAGGGTGGAAGCCTATAAAATTTATGTCAATGATGGCTCAGGAGGTTCAAACATAAAGTATGCAGAAAGTTATAGAGTTTATGCGCTAAAAGGTGAAAAGCCTTCATTTAAGAACAGCTATTCTAACCCATATCCTCAAAAGCTAACGGATGGGGAAGTGGATGATATGAATGACAGCAAAAATATTAACAGAAATGGCGACAGAGATGCATGGAATTTGTTTACCATCAGTCAATTGAAGGTTAAACTTTAAAACAATGTTGGTCGTTCCCATGGAATATTTTTTGACTTTAATGGTATTAGTCATGATATGAATCTCAAGGTATGAACGAGGAGAGATGAGAGACTTATATGCTTCCCAAATTTCTTCAAAAGGTAATGTTATACCTGACTGTTTCCAAATGAGTTCAATATCATAGCGTGAGAAACCTTGAAAGATAACGAAGTCAGTTATGAGACGTTTTATGTTTAAAGCAAGAAAACGCCATGTTTGCATAAGTATTGCTACAGTTAAATGGTAATGTCTGACTTTAGTAATGATGTTAGCTAATGGTGAGTCTGGTTTTGACACTAAACCTATACCAGCGAAGTCGTCGCAAACGAGCAGAGTGTTTGAAGGATACTTTTTGAAGGGGTATTTTGAAAGTTTTGATAGAATGTAGTTTGTCAGTCGTTTCATATCGTAAACTCCTGAGTACTGACGTAAGTGGTGTTTGTCAATAATTCTTTCCATCTCTTCTGAAGTCTTTTGCATTCCTGACTGTATAAATTCAACGATGGCATAATATTTCCTCTTACGTCGAATGTAACGTTGAAGAAATTCAATGAGTTCACTGTCTGGAACTTTAACGACAGAGGCTTGAACTTTTGACATAAATGTTTTCGCTGTTGAATCCATAGAGTCTGAAGTTGCTGATATAATGATTTGGTCATAGTAAGAGTCATTTCCTAAACGTTCTGTTATGAGTATATGACGAATGAGGTTAAATGTCTTACCTGAACCCATCTTTCCACAATAGAAATACACACCATTTGAACAGAACTCATAATCTTTGCTGAAAGGAAGAATAAGAGAAGAGTTAAGTTTGTCTGTAGTTTCATTCATGTCTTCATCTACATCATGTATTAAATGCTTCATTTTATCTCCATTAAAAATGCAAGTCAGAAATATTCAGAACATAGCACCGAGTCTAACTGACAAGAGTATAAAGATATACTATGAACACGTTATGATGAAACCTACCAAAATTCAAGAAAGTCAGTATACTTATGAATATCCAAGACACTGGGTAGAGTATGTAGGAGGTGAGAAAGCTATTGAAATCAGACAGGTTCGAAGTATTCCAGCAGGAAGAACAATATTATTGAAGAACTTTAATGTTTTGAGATATAATGATGAAACAAAGAAGCAAGATAGTTTCCCTGTTGCTGTGTATGTGAACTTAGACACAGGAGATGACATGAAAGTTTTTAATACAAAGCTTCAAACGGTAGTGAGAGAACAACTGACTGCGGAAGGGCATCCATTACCTTCAGAAGTTACCATAGCATATAATTTTGAAACAAACTCAATAGATTTTAAAGTCATCTCTGCAAAGAAGTCGGGATTTACATTTAATGAAGCAGATGTATATTCAAATGAAAACTTCAAAGCTATTGCATGGTTAGATAATGACGATTGCTTTAAGAAAATATTTAAATTCAGTGACTCAACGATGTCAATAGATGACCTTCGTGGAATGTTACCATCGACGTTTACAGTTGAAGGTTCAGCAGGATTGCTTACAAGATTGTCAATTGGTGGCGTTTGGTCTCGTGAGAACATTGTTATAAAATCCAGTATAAGTGAATTTGCTGAAGAATCTATATTATGTCTTTCAAACTATATGTATTCGCCGCCGAAGCATTATAGTATAACAAACTTTGTCAGTAAGTTTAACATAAGACTTGTTGAACCTTCTTCAATGAAAGATGTTGTGCTACCTAAAGATGGAAAGGATGGACTCATTATTGAGATGATTTTAATTGCATATTAAATGAGCTTGTTTTTGAAGGTCATTCATGATGAAATAACTGTTGTAGAAGATGTTAGCAATTGTTCAGACATTTTATTGAGAATAGATGAGATAAGAAAGAAGTTAGATAGACCGCAAAGCGGTGAGGGCGAAGCACGTGAGAATGTTTATGTTTCATTGACTTTCTCCAGTAACGAGAACTTTTATGAGATAATATTGAAGAGAGATGATTTTAATATGGTGTAAATGGTAGCTTGGGCAGCTTTAGGCGCAATGGGAACAAAAGCATTAGCATTTGGAGCAAAAGCACTTGGAGCTTATGACGCAGTAAATAAAATGAGTGGAGGAAGGGTTTCAAAGACATTAGATGCAAATAAAGGAAAGATTGGAGGCTGGGTTGCAAAGAAGTTAAGATTAAATAAAATAGGGCTCATAAATAAAGCATCCAATTTGGTTGCGACTGAGTCAGAAAATGCTTTAGGAAAGGACGATGAGTTTGCAAAACACGCAAAAGACTTTAATGACCAGATGAAAGGTGAAACAATGCATTTAAATAGAGTCGATGGAACTAAAGAAAATGTTTCTTCTCCACCAGTAGTTCTTCCGTATGGTCCCTATGGAATGTATGGAAACCCTTACGAAAGACCATTTGACCCATTGACTGGTGGAAGTAATTGGTATCATTATGGACGAAGAAGAAAGACAGTCAAGTTGGAGACAGACGTGAAGAAAGCAACTAAAAAGAAACCAAGGAAGAGAGTTATAAAGCAATGAATTCAACAGGGTAGAAATGAGGTTAGAAATCGGGTTAGAAATCGGGTTAGATCTCACCACTTCACCTAAATTTATTTTTGTGCTATGTTTTCATACGTGTGAGGGTGGTGATATCATTTATTTTTTATTTTATTTTTTAAAATTATTTTTATTTTATTTGGATGCAATGACAGAACAAAAGCAACTCATACAAATCAAAACATATAACAAACATACATTTAAACATTTATTCTTCCTTCTTGAGCATAACATGTTCTTTCAAATACATCCGAGACCAGTTGACTTTTCATTGACTGTTTATAAAGATAGAAATAGTTATATCATTAAACCATACGATGACGAAGGTAAGTTATGTAAATTGTACGTTAAGAAGTTAGAGAAAGTTTATGGCTTCAAGTATGACTACAATAGGGTTAACACTGATGATGAAGATATTGAGGAAAATTTATGAGAACAATAGTGAAGTTGTTAGTGAGAACGATAGTGAGGTGAAATTGTTGGCGGCTTTGTAAATATTTAAGGTTAAGTTAGTTTTTGCGTTCATGTTGTAAAATATACGTTAACGGTTTTGTAAAGTGTCAAATTCACAAGTATTGGGTAAGGTGGAACGCAGTGCCACCATACCCAAGACTTGTATACTAACTACTTTTTCGTTAATTCAAAACTTGATTCTATCTTTTCCTCAGGATATTTTTCATTAGGATTAAAGTCTTTATATGCTAAAGCGTAACGAATCATTGAAGCATTCGATGATAAAGAAAGATTATGAAGCATGTCAATTTTATAAACAAATGTTTCTTCAATAATTTTATCAATTGGGTCAATCATAATTTCAACATCTTTATTGCAATAATGAATAAAATATTCTAATCTATTCTTAAAGTTTTTAGCATCATTGAGATATATTTGATAATCACTATCTGATATAGTTTCTTGAGTTAATGCTGAATAAAATGAATCTTTCGTGAATGGTTCCTCTTTATATAATTCTTCTTCGTAATTCTCCCATGTGATAAATTGATAAGGGAAAAAGGATTTAACACGTGATTTATTGTTTCCGAAATCTTGAGTGAATTGGTCTAATGTCCCACCCGCTATATAATTTCTGATGTCAATAAATCTCAATTCATATGGAACGTTTGTTTTCTTTACAATGATTTGCTTAAATTGTGAAGATGAACCCAGCATTGATTTTATTTTCCATTTTGCAGTGTTTAAATCACGAAGAATTAAATTTAAATCAAACTTTCCCGAATTAAAACCTATGATATTCACTTTATTGAATTCCTCATCTAGAAGTTCTTTAAATGCTTCCTTCTGTTTTTCATTTAATGTATGGGACAAAGTCCCCGCCGTTTGCGACTTCAATAATTCATTGTATTGACTCATATTTGATTCAACAACTAATGAACAGGTTGAAAATAAAAACTCAATCCAATCAGAAATAAAAGAATCACTCGAAGTTAAGCAAAAATTCCTCGTATATGTTTTATCGTTTAATTTAACCGTTGATGATACCATGAATGGTTTTAAGTAAGCATTCAAAGTTGCACACTCAGAAAGTTGTAATTCTTCTTTAGTCTCTAATGTTTCAAAGTCAAAAGTAATATAATATCTTGTCGGTTTATAATATTTCTGCAAATTGTGAGCTAATAACCACTGATATATCTTCTGTTTCGTAATATGTGGTGCATATGGTTGCTGTGTCTTTTGCAACTGAACGTCTTGAATTAATCTTCCATTATTTTCTTTACATTTCTCACAATGCTTTAAAAATCTTCTTTGGTTTTTCCTTTCTGGATCATCACGGATAGAATAAACTTCTTCTTTACAAAAACACGTAAACAGATGAATGGAAACGTACTATATTTTCATAAATGTAGTAATCAGCGTGTCAGCTTTTGTTTATCATGTTCGAGTCAAAATGTATTAACTTGTAATAAGAAATATTCGAAGATTATATGAAGTATTGAGCATTCTTTGTAGAAATATTTGTAATTCATTACTAACATATATAATAAAGTTGTTTTTTTTTCCTTATTGCAATAATTTTGTCTGATTTTAATAACTTTTCATGTATACGAGTTGTGTGAATATGCATCATAATATGCGTAAATATACTTATTTGCGACGAATAATGTGGTTGCATAATGGAGGTGCTAAATTTTGATTTTTAATATGGGGCTTTGGTATGTATAGTATATGTTCTTATCCCAACGTAGGAGTATTGGTGCAATATGATTAAAATTTACGAGGTTGATCTAAATTGAATAATTCTGGAGTATAAATCACAATGCAGCTAATTCTATGTTAAAGATAGATACAGATTGTAGTAATCAATTAGGAAGTACAAATTCATTCTTTCATTTCTGTCGTATTGAGCAGAAAGGAAGAGATCATAACCCTAGGAAAAAAAGCCCAAATTTGTCACTTTTCATAGTACGTTAAACTCAATTCGCTCGGCGAATGCCGAGCACACGTACTCATCATTCAACATAATATTCTCATTCTTTGGTTATTATAGTGCCAGACAACACAAGATTTCAAAGAATTACTTGAGTTTTCAATTAATCTTAATCCGATTTTAGATTTATCGAGAACTCCATCATCACAATCACATACTTCAGTGCGGTAACTACAATTATCCATATACAGAAGGAAGTTCTTTTCGAACAACTCATTTGGAGTCTGTTTTGGAAAGAACTTCTTTCTGTCCGACTTAATTTCATAGTTCCTGATCAACCAAAAGACAGAAACCACACACTATCTACTTAGGAAAGGAGTTCTTTCTAAATCTTCCTTAAATTGAGATTTTACGAGAGATAACCCTTCTATTGCACTTAAAAATGAACATTTTGATATCTTTAGTATCACACATGGTCATATATAGTATTTCATCTACATGAATACATTCATCTTTCGAAGTCTCTCATTAAATGGGAGGCTTCGAAAGATGAATCGTTTTATTCATACAACTTTAAATCTCGAACACATTTAGAGAGTGAGTATATCATTTTATTCTTGTTTTGAGTTTATTCTGATTCAAAATTGCAGTGAAAACAGAAGTTCACACATCATATCTGAATGTGAGCTCATCTATACTTATACGAGCTCAATACCTCCACTCTAAGCATAAGAGGTGAAGTTATATAAAAATTATCAGATGCATTGAAGTCTCAAAAGTATTGCCTGAATGCTTGTTTCATATTTGTCCAAGTAGTTTCAATGAATAAATGTATTGTTTTTTATAATTTCGATTTATTTTTAGAAAATATTCAATATAACCTTTATTGTGTTATTTACATCTCATAAATTCTCTGTCTAAATCATATAAAAGCGCGTTTTACCCCTATGAATCAAGAAATTCATTCAATATTCATGGTATATTTATTAAATTTATACGATTTACTAATAATCAATATTATATCCTCATAAATAGCAATATATTTTGGTAATCTATGATAATCATATACAATATTTGAAATCAAATTTTCATTAGTTTAGGTTCCTTGTTAATAGTAAACCATTATATTTATTACTAATAATAAAATCTATGTGTCGTATTGAAATTCAATAAAATTACTTATTCGGTCCAAAAAAACAAATTAGATAAAATTTTTCTTTTTTTATGTAATTTTTGTTTTTCATTTTTCTCAAGATCCTAAGTTATGTTCTAACTTTTGACATCATATCCTATTATGCTAGGCTATATATTATAGCATATCCAAAAGGCAAGGAAATCTATCAGAGAAGCCTTTTTGACCTATCGTTGCCCTACCTCTCAAACCTGCGGAAATCAAAATAATTCAGAAAAGTTTTTGATCTTCTCAAAATAATTCAGAAAAAATTGGTTCAAATGCGATCGTATTCAATTTTTTCCTTATTTTAATCATGAATAAATATTTACTCTTGCATGTTGGTAATGAGTTTTAGTTTTTCAATTGATTTTTTTCTGTTCAATTTTTATTCTATGTGAACGCAAGATAAATGGATACTCCATTCAGTTTAAGTGTATCTGCAAATATTGCTTTTAACAATATTAAATTGATATGGTAAAAAAATTATGTCCATTTTCAAAATTCACGTCATTCTCTTTGTTTTAGGCATACCTATCATATTTTTTAGAATTATAAATCGGATCCAAATGCAATGTCAGAGAATACGAGCTTAAAAAAAATCTGCAATCATATTTTAATAGTTAGTAAATTTTAATTATACAATTGATTTTACACATTATGTATGTTCTAGAAATTAAATATTTCTAGCATTTAATAACTAGTAATGTTTAATTTGCAGGGAAATGTTTTGCATTAAATGCTAGAAATATTATGCACACAAGCTCATAGTAAAAGTGTGATTTGATTCACCTAATTGACATTCAAATCAACTTAATTTATTTAGCTTTCTTATATACAAATAAGTTTCATGTATTAATGCATTGTCCACTATACGTGAGTGTTCTTTCTCAAAAACTGTCCATATATATTGATTCAGACTTCAAATTTTATTCAACAAGAGAATTTTCTATTTTAGGCTTCCATAAAAGTAATTTGAAAATTCCATTGAGTAAATTTGGAGTAATGTCTGATGCAAAAAGTCAAATCATAAGTAATTTCTTGTGAAGAAAAATATCAAACTCCAAAATCATTTAATTTACAAATTTTTATTGTACATGAATTTCGCTCCCTAATGCTTATCGTATTACTTTTCAACCAGGCTAATTTATAAAATTCTAAATCAATTCTCATAAAAACACATTTTGAATATGAGAATTAGCGTCACTTGCATATTCTTATTCTAATGTGCCTGAAAATAACCCAAATTAAATATTTTTGTCGCTGCAAATTCTGAGTACATTTGTTCATTTCACATTATTATTTAAAAAATAAATAACTATTTGCCCATAGCTATTACTATGTTTGTAAATTATTTCAACTTTTCATAACTCATTCAAATCTTTACGGAAGATTCAATAAGACTATATTACTCATATCTTGAATAATAAAATATCAGATTTTAAATTTCAAAAGTTTAATTGAAAATCTTCATTGTAATTTGAAATAGGATTTCTATTTTGTTGTTCTAATGATATTTAACAAAATCTGTTTTCAAAACAATTGACAATCTTATAGAAAAGATTCAATGTCAAAAGAAATTTTTCGTGTACGTTATCCAAAAATATTAATCCTCAAAAAAATGCTTTCTCGCGGAACAAAGATTGAAGCTGGGAAAGTAAAATACCCTATTGTCAAAGAAGCATTTGCAAAATTCGGTATCGATATCACTCATGGTGATCCTGAAGCCAAAATTGTTTGGTTTGATGGTACAATTCCACCAGAGTTCTTTTTAACATTATTGCCTTACCAGAGACTTAACAAGATTCCAGGTATGGATTACATTTGCTTCAAATCCAACACATTCCAAGCATTAAATGCCTGCCGATATAAGTATCCAAAAGTCTATACGTTTTATCCATTAACTTTCCTTCTTCCATTTCAATATTCAGATTTTCAGCACGAGCATCTTCGCGAATGCAGTAGAACCCATCAACCAGTAACTTGGATTGTTAAACCTCGCGCTGGATGCTGTGGAAATGGTATCAAGTTAATTCAAAACACTTTTGAGCTTGCAGAAAAGAAAGATTCCTGTATAGTTCAAAGCTACATCTCTCCTTTCCTTGTTAACGGATACAAATTTGATTTTCGTTTCTATGTTTGCATTTCAACTCTTAATCCTTACACCGTTTTCATTTACAATGAAGGTATTGCTCGTTTTTGCACGAAAAAGTATTCTCCTCCAACGAGACAGACACTTGATGATAAATATTGTCATCTCACGAACACTGCAGTCAATGTAACCAACGAAGATGCTCCTCCTGACATGGATTTCACACGTAGAGCGTCCGAAGTCCTTGCAGAAATTGTTGCAACAGATCCACGCGGTGCTGGATTATGGGACAGAATCAAAACTGCTGCAGCATTGACTGCTGTGGCTATTTATTCCCCAATAGTTGCACAAGTCCTTAAAGATTCCCTAGAAAGAAAAACTCATATGAGAACTCAAGTTCAGCCACAAGACAAACTAAAGCACTCCGAGGAATATCCTAATCTCGCTCCACTCAACAAATATTTCCATATTATGGGTATTGATGTGTTAATTAACGATAAATGCGAGCCAATTATTTTGGAACTCAACGATCGTCCATCAATGCATGTTACCTTTGATTATGAAGAGCAGCTCAAGCCAAAGCTTATTTACGATGCTTTATCTTTAATTACAACAGATGGAACCCCTCCAGAAGCCGGAAAGACTTCTCCAAACTGGGAACAGATTCTCCCTGTTGCTCCAGAAACTGCTCTCGGTCAAACAGTCAGCGAAATTATGGACAGTTTCAGACATGAGTTAACTCCAAAGCTTGCTTTAATGAATTCCGCTAAGAAGCCTAAGTTCCCATTCAAGACTTCAACAAAGACAAAATTGCCACCTCTTAGACCCGCATGCCAGTAATTTTAATTCAAAATTATATTTTGTTTTATATATTGTTTTTATTATTCTTTGTAAATTACTTTGTTATATTAGCTATCTGCAAAACATCTTTTACTCTGCATTAATCATCAAAACTCATCGAAAATTTTCTATCGAATTTATAACCTGAGCTCGGAATGATAAAAATTTCTCCTATAACTTCGTGATGCAAAACAAATTTTGAAGCCTTAATAGCTTTAAACTTAGAGTAAATTAAATCGAGATTACTTATCGGTGTTTCCCTAATCAACATGAAAGAATTGCCATAAATTATCGACACAAATATAGGAAATTCATTGTATATCGACTAAATTAATGTAATAATAAAAGATTATATTTTTATCTAAAATGAATATAAAATGATAATCACAAATCAAGTTTACATCAATAGAATAACTCTATGGTGAGGAATTTCTTTATGGTGAAGCATAAAAGTATGGTAAGAAACATGGAACAACATCAACTGTCTTCATTTCTTGTTTAAGCTCATCACTTACTTCGACTGTTACAGTTGGTGGATTTTCTGGCTCTTTAAATTCGTGTAATGCCATGAAAATTGAATCATAGTTCTTTTCTGCGATCTTATAATAATTTGGTATTAACTTTTGGGCAATAAATCCACGGTTCTTATAGAATTCGAATCCTGAAACGTTATCTTTCATAATATGTAATAAAACATGGCCAGCTTGAAAATGATCAATATTAATTCTTGCAGTAACACGCATCAACTCTGTTCCAAGGCCCATTCTTCTAAATCTATCATCAATTCCGAAAGTTGAAATATATGCTTCTGTTTTATTTGACCATTTGCTTACCCAAATGCGGAGTGATGTGGAAACTCCTACAATTTCGGTTAAATCGCCAGTTATCTTTTCGAGAACAATTGATAAATATTTATTTGAAATGTATTTTTCATATGTTGCATCACTATATGTCAGTGGAAAGAGTTTTGTCTGTAACTCTCTGACTCCTGGGATGTCATCTTTAGTCATCCTTCTAATAAGGAACTTACTCTGCATTACTCCAGAAAATTTTGATCGGGGAATTTTCATTGATTCGAATACAAATAAAACGATCATGTATAAGCATGCTGGTTTTCATGCTTATTATTCTTCGTTTAACAAAAATTTAATTGCAATTGAAAGTGAGTGCCCAATTTTGGGATAATTTCTATATCATCAATTATGATAAGTTCTATACGCAAAAAAATTTAATACTAAAAATGTTGTAACAAAAAATGTTCATAAGATTTTATAGAAATTATAGAGTTTTTGATATCCAATTCCTAATACATTGTTGCATTTTGAAAAGTGTTCGCAAAATCATGTATTCATTGATTAAAAAAATAATTATATATTAATGAAAGAATATGTTTACTTACAAGCATAAAGTTGATAGATTTATAAAGAATTAGAACTACTCATATATCATTGAACTAATATAAAAGATTAAATTTCTTCTACAAGTTATAGATAGCTTAAGGGTGCCCTATAACGATAATGTAAACATCACAAAATTAACCTTATTAGAACTCGAATGAATGGATTATCCGGATTCTAGTTCTCAATATAATAACCTTAAAAGTGCTTTTCTGAGGGTGGTCTATCGTCTATAGGGCACCCTTAAATATAATAGATTTTTTTCAATTTAGTGAGCAGAAAGGCCGATTGAATAGGAGCGACCGAGAGAGTTCTGAATTGGCATTAGTTCTGGTTCAAGAACTGACCATTCGTACCAAACTCTTGATTCATCTGTTCTTCTACTAAACCATAATTTAATTGAATCGCCTTTCTTTACAAAAATTGGCTTCTTTATTGGAATGAAAATCTGGAACCAACTTTCTACTTCTTTCTTTGGATTATATGGGCTGTTTGATATATTTACATCTTGATATAGTTGGCAAGTGAACCATCCAGCGAATCCATGGATTGTTAAATCATCATTTACCTGAAAATTCAAAACCTTTTCAGTGTAAAAATTCGAACAATCTTTTGATGGATGAGTAAATGAGAAAAGTTCTTTTTCTTCAGAAGCTAAAATAGCTGAATTCATGGTCACAACGTACATTGTATCTAAGTCGCCAGAATTCGCCATAGACCATAAATGATGGCTAGAAATTGGACACAAAAATGAAGTGTAATTTGTTGGAATAGAAATTGCTCCTTCATTTAAGAATTGATTGCATCCGAACAAACATTCAGGAGATAATTCGTTATCGCCAATACCTCCTAAAAGTTCTGATACAAGGATATCTACCTTCTCAGGGAGCTCAATCTCCCTCATGTCGCCTTCAAAAACTGAAACTGTTGATGGCCAATCTTTTTTCAGTCTTTGTCTCAAAAGAACTGATGCTGCATGATTCTTCTCAATTACATAGATGTTAGTTGCACCTGCTTTGAGCGCTCTGTCTACCAGAGGACCTCTTCCTGCTCCAACAACGGCAGCAATCGCTTTTTCACCTTTGGTTTTAATGGCTTTTTCGATGGCCATTTGATATGAATCATATTTTGTATGATCTGATTCAAATACTTGGTACGTTGATGATGTCAGTTGGTTCGCTAATGGTTGTAATGGATTAGATAGTGTGTATTTGTAAGTTTTTTGAGAAATTTTATCAAATTTTGAATAAAGATTAGCAATTTTTGTCTCAAAGTTGGATAAATCAGTACTAATAAACGCTGGTATCTCTCTTTCTGTAAGTTCTTCTAAGATTGAAACGTATTTTTCTTGAATATTATTTTGATTGAAATGAGATTCTTGAAGAAATACATTACTAATGTTTAATGTCTTAATAATATTGTATTTTGATACTTCTAATGGGAAGTTAATTGCGCATGAAAGCTTTGGTGAGTAATTGCATAAAATGTGTAAGTCTATGAAATGTTGAGGTTCTTCACATAGATATATAAACAGTAAGTTAGGAACTTTGGATGTAAATTCAAGGATTTTAATTGCTGTTTCGAAGTTATTGGATGGTTCCGCAGTAAAAAGAATGATTTTAAGGGACAAATACTGGATAATTTCAACATTATCGTCATTTATTTCCGATATATCCATTAGTACTGCTAGTTTTTCGGGTAAAAACTCATCTTTGAATAAAACAGATGAGTAAAGACTGTTGTTAAGAGAAGAAAACGGGATGCATGAATAAAAGTTTACATTTTTGAGTAAAGATGCACGCAATTTTGCATATTCTTCCACTGAACGAAATTTGATTCCAATTTGTGCAACCATCGATAAATGAAATCAAGTTTCATTTATGATAGCTCTATAATATCCGATTTTAAATTCGTTATATATCAAACGGAGCACAGTCTTGTTGTCAAAAATTATGAAACCGCAAATCCAAATTTACGGGTTGAATTCGTTTGCATGATATAGCCTTAAATTGCATGAATATTAAGTTGATTGATCTTTGATGTCAAAACCCTGAAAAGTGACAGATTTCATGCGTGTTTCAGGAGAAGGGGGAGAAATATCAGCGTTCAAGGTATGCATATGTGGAGAAGAGTCTGTAGGCAAAACTGCTCTTCTTAACAGATATGTTACTGGTTCTTTCAATTCTGATTATCGACCAACAATTGCCGCAACATTTGTTTCTTCTCAAGAAATCATCGATCATCAGGTTGTTGTACTTAATATTTGGGATACTGCCGGTCAAGAAAAATATCAATCTATGATGCCTTTATATTTGCGAAATGCTGAATGCGTTATTCTTGTTTTCGATGTAACTAAGATCTCCTCATGGAAATACATTACTCAATGGTATGAAAACGACTTTCCAAACCTATTTCCAAGACCTGCTTTATTCATTTGCGCAAACAAAGCAGACTTAGAGCCTAACATCGATATGAACAGTACAGCTGAATGGTGCCAGAAGACAGATATACCTCTATTTCAGACTTCTGCTCTAACTGGACTCAATATCGCCCAGATTTTTAAGAAAGTTGCTGGTGATTTAGAAGCTCAGCACAAAGTTAAGAAATCAAATCAACACAGCAACAAAATGAAAGAGAAGAACACTGGATCCGGTAGCTGCTGCTAATTTTTATTTTTGTTTTTTTCTGTTATTTTTTAATAAAAATCTGATATCTATTTGTAATAAACAATAAACAAGGATAGAATTTATTCATAATAACAATTTTCCGGAGAAGTCATAGCTACTTCGTCGAAGAAGAATTCAAAATCATTATTTTCTTCAACTAACTTTGGAACTATAGGAGCTGGACTAGAGCTCTGTGGGGTAATTTTCTTTCTGTTCTGCTTCTTGCTACCTTTTCTCTGTCTCTGTATCATATTCCATCTATTCTTTAAGGAAACATCTGTACGACCTGGGAAGTATTTAACTATAAGTGACCATTTTGTACCAAGTTCGTTGATGAGATGTTCAAGTAGTTGATCCTCATCGAGTGTAAATGGCTCTGCTCTAAGATCTGGAGAGAGGAATGTTGTCCAGCGCTCCTTGAGTTGGCGTTTGTTGCGTTCTGGGAAGTATGGAACGATCTTATCTAATGAATTGATCCCGTCGATTGATACAAGTTTGGTTAAAAGGCAGTCTTCTTCGGGAGTGAAGCGCATTCTATGAACTGTTGGCTTGCCCACTGTGCATTGCTGCAAAATCTTGGGCGCACGCATCTGTAAAGTTTCAATTTTGGGAGGTGTTATTTATTCATTCAAAAAATAAATATTGCCAAAATTAAGGGTGCACACGAGAGGGTCATGTAAACTTCAGAATTTAGAACCTTATTTTTAGGCATTATCTTGGCTACCTATTTAGGCTCGAAAAGCAAAAAATATCAAAAAATACAACTTGACTCCATTATGACCCTTTCATGGAGGTAGTTTTTATCCGCTAGTATTTTCCCTTTGAATCTCTTTACAATTCGAAATCAAATTCAAATCTCAGTAGAAGAAAGGAAGAATCGACTTACTACGGTTGTAATACGAATAAATACATATATTTAATTATTTTTATTTACATAATAATTGTTTGAAGCTCATATTCCAACAAATTTTTAAATAAAAACATTAAAATGTTGAAAATGTTCATATATTTTAATAGGGTTTTGGCACTTTATTGAGGAATTACTACATACATAGTCGAACCGAACTTGATATTTTGAAATTTAAATTATTTATCAAAATTAAAATTTAACTTGAAATTTATAATTATTTAGTCATATTTTGCATAATTCTAAGTAGATTTTGTAAAAAATCAAGAAAGAAAAATTTTAACGTGCTTTATTTTTTCTTTTTTATAATAATACATATTATTATATAATTAACATATTCATAATGTTTCACCCTTTCAAAAATATAATCCTCCTCCTCTCAAATAAACGTACATACGGGTGGCCTCTTTTTTCAAAAAATTAAAATTTGAAATTTTGGGCTCAAATATTAGAGATTTTTTCAACCTTCAACGATATATGTTGTCTATATCAGACCTCCTTTCTTTTTGATACTTAACATTGTTCCTAAATCTTAGCCGTTAAGGCTGTTCTGAAAATATTTTTTTTTCGAAAAAATTCGAAAAAAATTCTTAAAATTCAAAAATCGCTTAATTCCAGAGGATTTTGGAAAAAAGTTTTTACATGAACATGTGTATATTATATGAAGTATATTGATAAGGTAAAAATCAAATTTTATTGCATATTCATCGAGAAAATAAACTAACGAATCCCTCAAAATTGAGATGGTAATCCTCCTCCTCTCAAATAAACGTACATACGGGTGCACCATTAACACCCAACATTATTGTCACCATTCAATTTTGAGAGCATTTTACATGTCACCGGGTGGCAATGGTGTCACTTTTTGGCATCGAACACCAAACATTATTGTCATTATATAAATCTATGTCCTTCTCAATTATTTTCTGAGCTTGCACCTTATCACCTATATAAATTTTTCTGGATATATGAATCTTTTAATAAAATGAATATATAATTAAAAAAAAAAAAAAAGAAAGGTAGTGGGGCTTCCAGGGGCTGCGCCCCTTCTAGCCCCTAAGAAATTTTGCCCAAGACCCAAGAGGAGGACCGAACCCCAGCCGACCAGCCGTTGACTTTTTTGTAGAGCACTCAAAATAGTATAACTTTGTCCGGACAAGTAAGGGTCTAACGTCGCTACAGGAAAAGTTACGGGCGTTCCAAGGAAGTATACTTTGAGAAGCCTTTTCCCCCTTATAGAATGAGATCGGACGGTTATTTTACAAAACCGACAACACTTTGACCGAGTAGTTTTTTGTGCTGAACAAAAAGTGTCATATAAACATCTGTCAAAAACCGTTTTTTACTTCACTTAAAATGCCACGTAAGCTACGTAAGAATATACGTAAGAGGAAGGGAGCATTGAAACATCCAATAGTAAAACTGACACCACAACAACAGTTGCAACAACAAATGATGAATGACCCCACTATGTTGCAACAAATGTCAAGCAACCCTATGCTTTTAAGCCGAGTTATTGGTGCACAGAGTGGAGGTTTAAGAGCGGCACTTTTAGCGAAAATGGCAGGCTATGGTGGAGCTGCAGACGGAACAGCTTATAACCCTCAAAGTCAAATGAATTTGAGTTCACTCAAAAATCAAATAACAGATGTCAAAAAGTCAAACATAGACATACAGAAACAAATAAGTGAAAACGAAAAGAAACTAGAATATGACAGACACACAAAGAAACTCAATGAGTTAAACGTAGAGAAAAAGAAGAAAGAAGAACAACTGAAAGAACTAAGTACAGAGGAATATGCGAAAAAAGTGTCAGAAAAAGCAGCAGAAGTAGCAAAAATGGAACAAGATGTTATAAATTTGAAAAACCATACTACTCAATATAAAGTACTGAAAGATGAAGAAATAAAACAAAAAGCCCTGAAGACATATATGGATAGCGATGAGTATAAAAAAGAAGTTGAAGCAAATGTAAAGGCAGAAAAACTTTTACAGTTGCAAAACCAAACCGTACAGTATGAAAACTTAGCACAAGAAAGTAAAAATAACGACGCAGCCATGCAAAAGGCAATGAAAAGCGCAGAATATATAAAAGCTAATAATGACTGGTTAGATGCCCAAGCCAACGCCAAAGCAGCCCAACTTATAGGGTCAATAAGGACAAAAATACAAGCGGATGAAGACAGTTCAAATGAAGCTTTAATGAATGCTGACTTTAAGAACGCCTTCGAAGCTCTTCATAGTAAGGTGAAACTAGTGAACGACTTCTCATCTGGAAAGAAACTGAAGTCTGAAGGTTTCGACAACGAGTTAAGAGAAGTAGCACAAAATATGACGAAAATAACAGATGCAGCAACGAGACAGGCAGTTCAAAGTGCCTATGACGCCGTTAGAGCAACTGTTGTGGAAAGTCAAGAAAAAGAGTTACAACAGACCAAAACAGACCTAGTAAATGCTTTCTTAAAAACGAAAAGTCAGGTAGGACATTATGCTGCAGATGGAACATATGTGCCAGCTGGTGGAACTTATATACTAGCTGGTGGAACTTATATACTAGCTAGTGGAACTTATATACCACCAAACCCTCCAAGAGAAGCACCTGCACCAGGACTACCTAAAACATTTACATCGTCACATGGACACAGACACAGGCATGCACCAAAACCAACACAACAACCAACAGTTCAAAACACTGCACCACAACCAACAGTTCAAAACACTGCACCACAACCAACAGTTCAAAACACTGCACCACAACCAACAGTTCAAAACACTGCACAGCAACAACCACAAACAGAGCAAGGACATAAAAGAAGTAGAGAACAAGGAAACCAAGAATTCTTAAAAATGCTTAAGGAAAATTATGGTTACCCAGATACTCTTGACTTTAGTGACAGATATAAAGAAGCTATTAGAAAGTTCAAGGAAGGAAATACTGACCCGAACCTATTTAGCTTTATGGTTCAGCACCAAATGGGATATAATTTCAAACCTGGAAAATACAAGCTCGCTAAGGGATATGATTTAATAGCATATCATCCAAATGACATGACTGAATTTACTCCGAGATATTTGGTGTCAGAGCTAAATGATAATTCAACTCTCTTCATGAAACGCGTAAAAAATAGAGACGGAACGAAAGAAGAAAGGTTTATGAGTCCGGATGACTTAGATAGGGAACTTTTTAAAAACGGTCTCGGAATATATGAAATGCCAGCAGATGAGGTACAAGAAACTCAACAGGAAGAAGTTCAGATACAACCAGACATGGAAGAAATAGTTCAGCAACAACAGCTAGAAGAGCCTGAAGGAAACGAACAAGTCCCTCCTTTGGAAACTAACTTCACAGAACTAGATGAAGATTTGGAACAGCCGAAAAATCTTGACCCTCAACAAGTGTATGCGGGGAATATGGAATCTTTCCAAGAGTCTAAGAAAAATTCGGCTGACATAGTAGAAGAATATCGAAAAATGTTCGCCGACATACAAAAGACTCCAACATCAGATGAAAATATTCAGCATAGAATGGAAGTACTGAAAGAAAATGTACGCAAATACAACAATCCTTTTTACTTACGACCATATAACGTTCAATCTTTGGCTGAACTCGGTGAAAATAAAAGGTTAAATTTCACCAAAACATATAGAAATGAAACATTGTTTAAAGTTCATTCAGAACCTAACCAATATGGAAACAAACCTACTTTTGTTTCTGCAGACTATGGAACTACAATGAGATGGGGTCATAAAGCTAATCCGGATAGGTGGTTCATAAACTTACAACCACAATTCCAAGAAGTTGTAGACGCAATGGAAGTGAATGGTGAACCAGATATAGCTGGTATTTTCAGCGCGGCTTTAATGCCATTGAAAGATATGAAACATGCAGATATTTTGGACCAGTATGAAATGAACATGGCTGATGGAAATATAACACCTGACGTTCTAGAACATTTATCTCAAAGAACTACACAGAACCATAGAGATGGTATATTTGGTGAAGAGTTTAGAAAGAAAGTTAGGGAGAGAGAAGGAAGAGAACCTATTGTACATGACCTTGCAAACGAAAGTTTACAAAATGTCATAAAAACTTACTTTGCAGACAATGAACCGAGAAGGGATGAATATTTAAGAAAACTCAAATGGACAGTACCAAATGAAATGTTAGTATTGAAAAACATGTTCCTTGACAAAATAAAACCAACTACAGAAATAAATGACGCAAGACTGAAACATTGGGTAAAAGCTTTCCCATTCACAAAAGATATTATTGGTAACATGGAAAGAAAACCAGAATGGCTACAAAAACATATATTTGGAAACGAGCATATTCCATATGGACAAGCTCTGTTTGAAGAGCTTGAACCGGAAACTCAGGAAAGAGTCATGCAAACAATACGCGAAGACTCAAATACAAACTATGACAAAATCTTTCTAGGATATAGGTTACCTGAGATGGGCGACCAGAGCCCAAAGGCAAAAAGGACATGGGAAATTTACAACATACTAGGTGAACATGAGGCAAAGATGCAACAACTTGAAGCAGAGGGCAAGTTACCAAAAGCGACACCAAAGAAGAAGAGTAGAACAAAGTGAAAGTAGTGAAGAAGTAACTTCATCTAGTGAAAGTAGTGGCAATGAAGGAAAAAGAAGAGTTAAAAACTCAGTCAGGAAGAAAGTAAAGCTTGGTCCGAGTGGGTTCTATTATGATATATAAATCCAACTATTCTATATTTTTACCCATATGAAATGTACGCCGCTCAGAATATAACGCCAACAGTTTTGGATGCCATGAACGGAAATGTTTCCGAATGGTATAACGAATGCGACAATGCCATTAGAAGGTCAGAAATAGTTCCTGGAACTTACGAATATACAACTGCTGTTTCTTATGGAAACGTAGGTGAGTTTGGAGAAGGTTCTTCAACAACAGTAGATATTGCTTGCGACAGGTTTCATATTATTTCTATTGACAACTCATTCTTATACGTGGAACAAGACATTGAAATAAAACCTTCTGCCAAGTTGTCTGACAAGAAAGGTTGCAATGGAATTTTCTATGTCGGATACCAATATGCTCCAGAAGTTTTCATGGGATATAAGATATATTCTAACTCTGACTTAGTTCAAACAGTAACATGGGCAAACTATGAATGGTTCGCTTTGAGAAACTCAGTACAACCACAAGCTAGAGAACAAACAGACCAGTATGCAACTATTGAGAAAATAAGAAGACTTGACCCTAACGTTCCAGGAGTTTATGTTAACCTTTCTGGTTCAGATGGAACTGCTGCCACTAAAGTAAAACTGAAACTTAGAGTTCCTTTGTCATCTTTCCTCATCTTCAGGTTTTTAAGATACTTGCCAAACTGGGCAGGAAAAATTTCTATCGAACTTACTCCAAGCAAAAATAACTTAGTCATTGCACCAACACAAGACCCATTCACTATTGAAGCCAAAAGAAACAGCTCAGGAAACATTCGCTGCCTTTTGCAAAAACAAAGTTGACTTAGACTTTGGTTTCTCAAACTTCAACAATGAAGTAAACTATTATTTCAATGCTGCTGGAACTGCTTGGGACCCAGTTAAGTTTACATGCGAAAAATTTGAATGCAAGAGAATAGAAAGCAGACTTGCAGTCTATATGTTGGACCCAGATATTTCAAATGCTTTAGCTGCCAAATATATTGCAGTTCCACTTATGTTCCCTATACACCAAATATCTGTCAAAGACTTTGCAGGTGAAGTTGGAAACCAAAGTGCTGACCCAGGTGCAAGAACAGATATTGCTTTAACAACTGCAATGAAACATGCAGATACTATGTTTGTACTGTTCAGACGAAATATAAATGACTATTCTTGTTTCTACAACCCCGGTATTAAATATCATATAAACATAGATGGCAAATATTATCCAAGAGAAGAATATTCTACAGTTGAGGATATGAGGTCATACAACTTGACATTAGATGCTATGAACTTTAACAACAACTTCACAACAACCATTAACCCTGAAATGCAAAGTTCTATTATGCCATATGTGAAAGTATGGACTCATACAGGAGGTCAAAAAAACTCAATATACAAATGGAGACCGTTCAAACTTTTGGCTTGGCATTCCATTTGCTGACTCAGAAGACTTTATGGGTGGTATTTCAACTGTTGGTACTGTACAAATACAAATATACTGGTGACAGAGACGGTCCAGATGAACTGAGAGCAAAGAAGTTTACAAAACCAATAGCACTTTTCACGGAAGATGCTCTTTTGAAGATTCGTTCGATGAAACCTGCTGGGGCTCCTCAGATTGGCATAACGACAGCTTCCATCGAGCAGATTTTGGCAGCAGGTCAGTAAGTTGTTCTTGAACTGACTTCTCTCCGTCAAATATTGACAGTACGCCAGTTTTGACATAATATTGTAAGATAAACTTACCTTTAGAAATATCTGTAAGTTTTGAAGTTATATTTTTGTCTGCTTCAAGAACTTTCACCATTTCAGTTATACCAACTTTCTTTGCTTTATGAAAATATTTAGGTTCAGCAAAGACTGCTATTCTATAACATTTACCATTGTTTGTATAAAGAACTATTCTGTCAATGTATTTGTATTGTTTGTGTGTGTAAACTTTGTTCTGCTTCAATTCGAAGAGATACTCGAATACGTCCATCTTTTTATTCTAAGTAAAATGTCATTTCCGAAAAAATAGAAGCGTGAGTGTTTCAAAAGGTTTAAATGGCGGTGGCAGATGTGAAGTTAAATTCACCAACTCAAACAAACAGTCAAAGTGTTGTTGTCAATGTCAAAGACAGAGATGTTGAAGTGGGGAAACCATACGAAGACGAAGATGGTATAACAATTGTTCCTGTAAAAGAACCAACATATCCTGAAGTTAGCAGAGACTTAAGTTCTGTTGCAGATATTCGAAACGACTACCAACAACTGAAAGACAAACTTCAAACTCAGGAGAAGATTTGTCAAGCTTTAAGTATAATGTTAAACTTGGTCGAACACAACCCTGTAAAAGTGAACTCATATGTCATTGCACCTCATGAAGTTTTGAAAGAACTATTGAAACTTTTGACAGAGGCAGACGATATAAACATCAAAGAAATAGAACCCGACATTGGTTGCTGTGGTGTTTCATATAATGTCATTGACAAGATATACGTTATGAAAGGAGGTGAAACGTTGAACTTAAAGTATAGTTTCCCAGACGTCATAAAATATTTGACGACCACAACATTTCATTAAAATTTATTTGCTAAGTAAAAATGTCAAAACTTCTTGAAAGATGTTTGAAGAAAAATAATATAGACTTTATTTCATGTAAAGGACTTTACACACTTTTGAACGATATGAAAGACCCTGTTTTGTTTGTTCGTGTAGACAAAGGAAAGTTCTATGTCTTTACAAAATATTTGAACTTCTTAGACAGAGAACTTCAAGAAACGCCATGTGAAAGTTTAGATGAAGTTCTTCTCCACTTTCAGAAAACTTTTAAATATATATAAATGGCAGAAGACATAATGGTTTATACTATTACGACTAAAAACCCCGAGTCATATAATTCTATAACAACAAACTTACAAAGTCCTCAAGGACGATATTGTAAACTAACCTTAAACACAATGACGACTAAAGCCTGTTTTGCTCTTTTGACACCAGAAGACTTTATTGTTGTGAATGGTAAAAAATACTCCTTTGAAGATACTTACTCAGATATACCACCAACAGGTTTTGTTGACTTATTTAATACTTTAAGTACGGGTGTAACATGTGCTGCAACTAGAGCAGGTTTCATTATGTTTGGATGTCCGACTGAGTTTACTATAAACGATATGAGCTATAATACAAAACTTATTTCTGGTTTTTACTACCAACAGTTTCCTATAACAGGAAAAGGTGTCATACAAGGAATGTCTATTCCATTGACATTAAGCACACCAATCTTATATATTGTTTCAAACTTAGGTTCAAAGTGTTATTCGAATGTCGACAGAAACTATTATGACCAAAAGATACTTATGCGTATAAACAATACTTTCTCTGCTGGTTTGCCTATTGTTCATTCGAATGCAGAATTTTCAACCTTAGTGAACTCAAACACTTTGGCAAGTATAACGTTGACATTAGTTGACGCCAACTTTGTTCCTGTAAAACTTTTATGTCCTATGTATTTGTCAATGACGGCAGAAAGTTTCGAATTGGAAGATGCAACTGGTGAAAGTATTGTATTACAAGAACAACTTCAACAACAAATAGCTCAAGAACAACAAATGCAACAAATGCAACAACAAAGTCAAGAATAAAAAAAATATTTTTTTTTATTTTTATAAAAATGTACAGAATAGATGTTTCAGATTTTTATGACTTCCAAGCATTCAGAAATATGTGTCCATTTCGAGACTATAACAAAGCAGTCGAGAATTTGAAACGTTTAGTCATTTATGTCGACTCTGCCCCAGAATGTTATGTTATGAAAGAATGGGATGTAGTCTTTAACAAACCTAAAGCGACAATAGTTTCAGAACAAGAATGTAGACAGAAACTTAAGAAAAAAAAAGTCGTACAAGTTGGCATGAAGATGTTAGATGCTTGGGATATCTTATTGTCAAAGTTAGAAGATTTTTCAGTTCGAGGTATAAAGTTCTATACACCTTCTCCAAACTTCTATTCTATCTTCACTGGATATAAATACGAACAAGTAGAATGGAAAGAAAATATTATAGAAGCTTGGTTAGACCATGTCAAAGAAATTATATGCAATGGAAACGAAAAGGTTTATGAGTATATCTTATGTTGGTTTGCAAACATCTTACAACATCCAAGTGCTAAAAATGAAACTGCTCTCATTATAATTGGAAAACAAGGAACTGGTAAGAACACATTCTTTACAGATATTTTGCAAACTGTTAGAGGGCTATTCGAATCCGAATATGACAAACTTAGAAAACATCTGTGGCAAGTTTAACTCCTCAATAGAGAATATGAAACTTATAGTTTGCAATGAACTTCAAAGTATAGATACAACAAAAGTTTTGAACTCAGATGCTTTGAAGAGTCTTATAACAGACAAAGTTGGAGTTGTTGAAAGAAAATATAAAGACCAAAGAGTTTGTGAAAATGTTGCAAACTTCATTATGGTTTCAAACAATGCTGTTCCGATGAAGTTAGAAAGTTCTGACAGAAGATATGTAGTTGTCAGAACGTCAGATTCTCATATGCAAGATACAGAATATTTTGACGACTTAGCAGAAACTTTGACATCTGACTTTTACAACCACTTGTTCTCATATTTTATGACATTAGATATTTCAAAGTTCAATCCAAGACAAATTCCACATACCGAAGAGAGACAAACATTGTTAGAAGCAAACAAGAGTGTATATGAACTGTTCATAGATGAAACTGACTTTGTGTCATTAGATGAAAGGTCATTGTACGATTCGTATAAACAATATTGTCAAGAATATGGTTATATGACAGCGTCTAAACGAACATTCTTGGCAAATGTCAAAAGTCTTTTAGACGTACAGAAAGGTGTATATACAAAGAAAATTTTTTATGAGTAAATTTTAAAAAAAATTTTTTTTTTTATCCGATAGAAAAAGATGGCAAAATTCATCTCAGTAAATAAGTACATGTCAGGACTTAAAGAAGAACTAGACCCATTCACATATTTGAATGTTTACTTCTACCATTTTGAAAAGTCTTCATTCAGCAAAGTTTGGAACATCGAACCAGTTAAGTTTGCTATTGTGACTAAAAATGGTGCGAAATTTGAAGACTTAGACATAGAAGGTTTGTTAGCAGTCAAAGAAAGTTTTGACAGAAGGTTTTCAAACCTTAAAGAAGGCAAAGCATACAAACTTGTTATACCTTATGAACCAAAGAAAGCAGACGACTATGAATATTATGAGTCTAAAGTTGTAGAAGTTCAAGGTAAATTGGGTAAAAAGATTTTAGAGTCTAAGCCAGTGTTTACTCCTAAAGAGGAAGAGAACATTGACATTGACCCAGAAATGTTCTAAAAATAAAATTTTATTTTTACATGTCAAATTTCTTTTTCTCTGGAACTGGTTCAGGTTCTTTCTTCTCTTCTTCTACTTTCTTTTCTTTCTTTTCTTTCTTCTTCTTTTCTGGTGGAGTTATGTCAAATTTCTCCGAACCATATTTATGTAAAAGTTCTTTGTCCTTTAATAGCTCATCTATTCTGTTTTCTATTTCATCTTCAAGAACAGCGCATGTGTCTTCTTTGCATTCTAAGAAATTTTGTTGGACTTCATCTTTCCAAGAGGCGTCATCTCTGTCAACAAGTCTGTCATTGACAAACTTAAAGACTGCTCTTTGTAATGTTTTATGGTTCTTGTCATATTCCCAGAAACAGAACTTTAGAACAAATTCACCTTTCTTGTTTACACTATGTAAGATTTTATGGTCGACAGATGTTTTGCTGTCAAAAAGTTTGTCTCGAATATAGATAGCGAAATCGCTAGACATTTTCTAAAAGATAAAAATTTTAATTTTTCTAAAAATATGTTAGAAAAAAAGTTTGCTGACATTGACAAGAAATTTGAGAATGTTTTAAACAAGAACAAGGTGAAGTTAGAAAATGCTCAGATAAAGCCTATACATGACAAGTTCTTATTTGCTCAGAATGGTATAACAGGTCTAATTGCACCACCTGGGTCGGGTAAGACTTTCACTTATCTTAAAATGGCTGCACAACAACAAGAACTAGATGAGAAGAACCCATTCTATGAGTTAGTTGTCATTTGTAGTACTTCTGGTCAATTTGACCAAACCGTCAATTCGTTCAAAGATATTATAAAGAAGTCTAAGTTAGTATGTATAAAAGACTCTGAGTTGTTGGATTGGATAAAGAAGTACCAAAGAAGAGTTTTGAAGTATAATGCTATAAATGAGTATATAAATTCTAAGTTTAAAGACCCTAATGAGGAAATGCAGAGAATATTAGAGAAGAAACACTTCAGAAACAAACAGAAAGAGATAGAATACATTTCGAAGAAATTGCAATCTTACGATTGGAAGACATACCCTCATAGGTGTCTTCTTATCTTAGATGATTTCGCCTCTCATCCTTTGTTAAAGAATAGAGAACAAGATATGTGTCGAATTCTTAAGAAGCTCAGACACTTTAACATCTCAGTTGTCATTTGTGTACAGACAGCAAAGAGTTTAAGTAAGGATGTAAAGAGAATACTTACTGACATTGTACTTTTCCCCGGATTGTCCGAAGACGATTTCATGGAACTTATGAAAGAGTCCATGGCAGGTAAGTTTGACAGACATGAACTATGGGAGAAGTACAAAGTCATACAAGACCCTCATACTTCTTTCAGAATTCATATCTACGCAAACAAAGTTCAAATTGTAAAAAGTCAAGCTTGAAAAATAAATGGTTCATTTACTCTGCTTGTTTGAAGTTGTCAAAATACTCTGTTATTTTTTCCTTTAACAATGACAAATCTTCTTTGAAGGTAAGTATTGTACAACCTTTCATATCATAGTGTGTTTGAGGTAACGTATCTTGAACTATTTGTTTCACATCTTCATTCGGTGTCATTGAAATCGGTAAGTTTTCGCGATAGAACCAATTTCTGTCAGATTTGTAAATCTTAGCAAGGTCGTAAAAGCTTTTGTTGTTTCTTCTGACTAAATGCAACATAACCATATCTCTGTCTTCTTCATTTTCCATCTCTTCAGTATAAATCATATACTTATAGTTCTTTTCCTTTCCTTTTGGTACCGAACGTGGTATTCTTTTCTGAATGCTTTTGTCTTTTGCTTCAAGCTTGTTTTCCATCTCTTCACGTTCTTGTCTATGAATTTCGTCAAGAAGTCTGTAAATATTCCAAGCATAACGAGGCGAAGCCCACATTGCAACAGCATTTACAAGAAGTCTATGTACATAATATCCTCTCAAACCGTTTGGCAATTTTTCACGATTTTCATAGAGTTTTGGCGACTGGGGTTTTTTACCTACTCGCTGTTCTTCACTGTTTTCAGAAAAAAGTATGTCTCGCTGTGCTTCATTTAATAGTTCAATGGTGCTTTGGTTCCTAAACCAGTCTTTAGGAAGCTTAGTATCTGGAGCATAACATGCTGTCAAAATACTTTGCATTTGGTACATATCGTCTTTGACCGAACGAATGAGACGGAGTTGTTTGTTATACTGTATGTACTCGTATTCTTCATTTATAGCTTCATGGACTATAACTGTTGTTGTGTTCTCTGTTGTTGACATATCTGTCTTTACATACAAAATAAAAAAAAATATTTTATAAAAAATTAGCGTTATTTTCTGACTTTCACAAAAGACCAAAAATAAACGCTTTACATGTATTTTTCAGCAACTTCGTCAAATAATTTTATAGCTTTATCTATCTCATCTACTTCAAACGTTTCTTTACCTTTTATGGGAGCACCATACATTTTCTCAAACTTTTCAAGTAGTTCTGTTTCTGCAGCTCTCATATCATTAGCAAACACAACCTTGACTCTATTGACTGTACTGTCATATCTTTGAGTTATATTATATGTTCTTCCTATCTTATATCTCTTTGTATTGAAGTCCTTCGGTTTCTGAACGATGTAAAGTAAGCCTTCACTGCAACGTTCCGTATCGAATGAACCATATGTTATGAAGTTATATCCAACAACTGGGTCTAACCATAACAAAACTATTGGTATAAGACTTTTGTCTATAAGATATGCTGCAGTTCCATAGAATCTTACCGATATCATAAGCTCAGGATTTCTTGTCAAAATTTTCTGACTAGAAGCAATTCTAACCCAGTCCTTTGTTTTCTTTCCAGATGGTGTTATAATGTCTGACAAAGAATATTTGTTGTATTTCTTTGAGTATCTTACGTTTAAATCACCTATTCTAACCACTTTGGTGTCATTGTCTATCTTTCTAACTGTTTCAAACTCAATGTTTGTCATTTCTGTTCTTACATACAAAATAAAAAAATAAATAAAAATAAAACTAACTTTATTTTTTCTGTCTTAAGGAAATTCATGAAATTTGGTCATTTTTCAGCAAAAATATATTTTAGGTGAAGAGGTGAGATCTAACACGTTTTCTAACCTCTTTTCTAACATGGTCTAAAACACACAAAACTCATGAAATTTGGTCATTTTTCAGCAAAAATAAAGTTTATGTTAGCATGTTAGATCTAACACGTTTTCTAACCTCTTTTCTAACATGGTCTAAAACACACAAAACTCATGAATTTTGTGCTGAATTCAGCAAAAATATATTTTAGGTGAAGAGGTGAGATCTCACCTGTTTTCTCACCTGTTTTCTCACCTCTTTTTTTCACAACCGTTTTACATGGTAAACGTTATGAATTCGTGAGACTCTAAACAGTTTTGTAGCCTCTATTTCTTCTTTTAGTACATCGAATGTTTTAACAATGCCGAAGGTTTCTTTATATTTCTTCTTGACGTCAGATAGAAGGAAATCTTCTGCTGTTGGATAGTTTTTGTCAAGACTTCATTGTAAATGACCAAAAATAAAGTTTATGTTAGCATGTTAGATCTAACACGTTTTCTAACCTCTTTTCTAACATGGTCTAAAACACACAAAACTCATGAATTTTCAAGACTTCATCGAACTTAAATGTTTTGTCAAGACTTTGTCATATGATTGCTTCTCTCGGTTTTCCGAGGGAAGAGATTCCATGTTTTGTCAAGACTTCATTGTAAATGACCAAAAATATATTTTATGTTAGCATGTTAGATCTAACACGTTTTCTAACCTCTTTTCTAACATGGTCTAAAACACACAAAACTCATGAATTTTCGTGAATTTCCTTAAGATAGAAAAAATAAAGTTTATGTTAACATGTTAGATCTAACACGTTTTCTAACCTCTTTTCTAACATAATTATTTACAAGCGTTTTACATGGTATATGTTGCGATGGTTCATGACTTTAAACAGTTTTGTAGCTTCTATTTCTTCTTTTAGTACATCGAATGTTTTAACTATGCCGAAGGTTTCTTTATACTTCTTCTTGACGTCAGATAATAGGAAATCGTCAGCAGTTGGATAGTTTTTGTTCAGAAATGCTAACATGTCCATTTTATCTTCTGCTGGCTTTTCTGCTTCTTTCTTTAAGTCTGCATAGTCGTTTCTCATTCTTTCTATCTCTTTGACGGAGTAGTTATATTTCCTAATTGCTGCCTTACATTTTGAACATTGCGGGTTCATTTTTGCGTTATACATTGAAATAAAACCAGCTAAAACAACTAAAGCGTCAATTGCTCTCTTCATCTCAAACATAGCGGGTCTTATTTGTTTGTTCCATACTTTGCCTCTTCTATCTTTATCTCTTATCTGCCATACACATTCAGCAACTAACGAAACAAAGTTGTCGTAGGTCTTAAATTCTTCAGATTTATATATGTCAGAGATGTTCTTATATACCATGTCGCAATCTTTGTCCATAACCTTATGGTTGCAATGAAATCCTAGAAACTCATAGTTTACCTTTCGTATGAACTTCTTTATTTCTACTGAGTCAGTTGGTTTCACTTCAATTT